AGACGTCGCTAACGGTATCGTGTGAGGGTAAATATGCGCGGCGTCTTGTACGTCGGATGTCGTTTGTAATTTGCACGTCCGGTAATATGCTATGGTCTATTTCTCCGAAAGGGAATTCACGTTCGGCGATTACGTGCTCTGGGGATTCGCGTTCGGTTTCATCCGAATAGTCCAATACGCGACGCACAAGCTCTAATGTTTCACGCACGTCTTCTAAGACTTCGGCAACTGTCTCGTTGGGATTTGAAAGGTGTTCGATAGTTAATCGCGCTGGTGCGCTGTGTAGCCACGATTGATTTGGTATAGGTTGGTCAGGAGTACCGCTTCCGCTCGACATTCACGCCTTTACGTGTTCGCTCGCATAAACTTCGTCGCTTAGATTACAATAGTTTCTCGACTTACAATAATGTTGTCACGGCTCTTCTGTAGCTCATCGTGTTTTGGGTGAGTCGGCAAGTCGTCACTCGTTACTGGGTCAATGGCGTTGGGCAGGTCGCGGTCGCCGCTGGTGCAGTCGCCGTAGGCTCCGGTGTCGCTGACAACGTAGTATCGTAGGCCGTAGCTCCGACGGTCGCCTTGATTACGCTGCTGCTCGTCTTTCACCGATTACCGCTGTCCTCTGCCGTCTCTGTTAGCCTTGTGGTCCCAGGGTGTTGTCTTGGAGGGCTCTCAATGACTTTTTAGCTCTCTCCAAATGTTTCTTTTTTTTTTTCTCTCTCTCTCTCTCCTTTTTTTTTGTGTGTGTATGGTCCTTGTTAGACGTCTTCGGGGCTTGTAATAAATTTTTCGAGCTCCCCTTATTGTTTCCTTTTTGCTTCCTTGAGCCTTCCCGTCTAAGTATGTTGACGAGGCAATTTTTTCTTCGTGCTTGCGATATCTGGTAACTCTTGTCTAGTAACGTATCTCCCACGTCACTTGTTGGTTCCGACTGTATCGTCTTTTTTGTTTTTTACGTCACTTTTCTAACCCGTAGTTTCTTTTTACAGGTAGCACCTAGGCCCCGGCGGACACCGATCCCACCGCTGCCACCAATTTGTTGTGCCCCAGGGTGGTGAGACACGTCGAGTAGATTCGGGATCGGTGGGTCGGGGATGCAAAGGCGTAGTGATGTAGTTTGGCAAATAAATTTAATGCACCTTTTTAAACGAACTTCCCGAGTTCTTATTACTTAATACAATTTGACGGTCGCGTAAGTTGCTGTCGCAGAACCGGAGGAGCAATAGCCCTGTTTGGCGTTCTTCTCTGGTCCTTTTATAATCTATAATTAGGTCGTAGACGGGGGTGTTTGGTCAACTGTAAAGTTGTTACATTTACTGCTGACCTGTCCCCAATATGTTGCGATATATTTTCAAGGCGACGCTTAGCGTAGCACTTGCGCAATCATAATAATGTTGTAGCGCTGTCGAAGCGGTTTCTTACGAAACGTTTCGGCAACGCTAAGAATAATACTAACGATTATAACAAACATGAACTGCATTGTGTTGATCCTGATGTAAAAAGTGGTGGAAAAAGTGTTGCGCAGAGAAGGTGACAAGGTTTACGTGAAATGGTTGGGATTTAGCAATTCATAAAACTCTCATGGATAAACAAGGATAATATGTTGTATAGATATAAAAAATAAGTTTTATTATAACCTTTTCATGTCTTACAAAATATATGTCTTATTCTACAAAAATGTATATTCTTTTATTATTCCAAAAAATAAGTAATAGTCTATAATGGTATACGATAATGCCTCCATGGTAACGTATCGATTGATTCTACTACGATATAATACTTGTCATCGTACGGACTCAGAGCGATTTTCATTTTGGATACTGTGTACACTTCGTGCAATTTTGATCTAATGCATGATTGTTGATGAGTCGTTTCAATCTCCTCTTTCAAACATTGTATATAATCGTAAAAATTTATTGTTCGCGCTACTACATTACTCTTAACATCTTTGGCCTTTTTTGTAACCCTTTTACCGTCTACTCTCAACGCGTACATCTTCGCTCTGAGACCGAATTTCATCATTATCGCTCCATTGTTTCGTCTTTCATCAAGCCCGGAACTTTCTTATTTACAAGCGGTATGCCATTGTCAACAAGATAATCGCTCGTGTCGAATTTGTCAATATCACGTTTTATGTGCTCATAAATGTCGATGCATTGTCGTTGTATTGTCACGCGGTTTCGCTCGGAGCGGTCGAACGACCTTGGCGTGGTCGGACGAGCGCTCGTGACACCGAGAGGCGGTGGATTAGCTCGCCGGTGTCTAAGGGTTCTTACTGACGCGCGGTTCTTGGTTGTCAGCGTTTCTATGCGCGCGCGCGCGTGTGTGTGGTGTGTGTGTGTGTGTGTGTGTGTGTGTGTGTGTGTGTGTGTGTGTGTGTGTGTGTGTGTGTGTGTGTGTGTGTGTGTGTGTGTGTGTGTGTGTGTGTGTGTGTGTGTGTGTGTGTGTGTGTGTGTGTGTGTGTGTGTGTGTGTGTGTGTGTGTGTGTGTGTGTGTGTGTGTGTGTGTGTGTGTGTGTGTGTGTGTGTGTGTGTGTGTGTGTGTGTGTGTGTGTGTGTGTGTGTGTGTGTGTGTGTGTGTGTGTGTGTGTGTGTGTGTGTGTGTGTGTGTGTGTGTGTGTGTGTGTGTGTGTGTGTGTGTGTGTGTGTGTGTGTGTGTGTGTGTGTGTGTGTGTGTGTGTGTGTGTGTGTGTGTGTGTGTGTGTGTGTGTGTGTGTGTGTGTGTGTGTGTGTGTGTGTGTGTGTGTGTGTGTGTGTGTGTGTGTGTGTGTGTGTGTGTGTGTGTGTGTGTGTGTGTGTGTGTGTGTGTGTGTGTGTGTGTGTGTGTGTGTGTGTGTGTGTGTGTGTGTGTGTGTGTGTGTGTGTGTGTGTGTGTGTGTGTGTGTGTGTGTGTGTGTGAAGTATTGAGAGAGAGTACGTCATGTTTAACAGAAAATAAAATAATTCATTCAAGAATTACACGCGCTGTCGGTAGCGGACTTAATTTCTATGCTTAACCTAAACTTACATCTAAACGCGGGCTTATGACTACTACGCGATCTTACAGCTAGCGCGGACTTAAGATTATTCGCGGCACATTCGGACGCATGTCGCAGGCTTTCCACGGGTACGCGGAACGATGTCGGCGCAGACGGTTTCGCGGCAGCGGATGGTCGGCAGCGGTGCGACGTTTTGCGGCGCGGACGGTTTCAACACGATGTCGGTTGAGTCGGCGGGTAGCCCAGGATTAAGATGGCTTTGGAGATGGAGGCGCACGAGAGGAGCTAGCAGGTGGAGAGCCCAGAGTTCAGGGCGGAGACGGTGAGCTCGCCACCTCTATATCCCTCGGTTTGCTGGTTGGTCTCGACTCGTGGTGCGGCCTCGAGGCAGATGAGCGCACCTTTCCTCTTGGTCGTATCTCTAAGCGGCCGTGAGGTCAGGAGCGCTTGACCGAGACGGTGAGCGCGCTACCTCTGGTTCCCGAATCAGGACTCTTAGAGTGGACTTAGACGTGAGATGATACGCCCAGGATGATGAGCGTACCTTTCCCGGCTGTAGTGGTCTCAGGGTCACTGGTGTGTTCACCAGCTAGGAGCCGGGATAGGTGAACGTACTCATAAGAGCACGGTGTCTTATCGCTATCACGCTTGGCTTTTATACCCGCCGGCTCGCGGTTTCGACACGTACGCCGTTCCCCCACGTGAGGAAACAAACGGCGGCGTCTCGAGCCGGCGGCGGTTGGGCATTATTTATTTCGCGCTTTGCGCCTGTTATACGACCCGACTGGTGTTCGGTCGTGTCGTCGTGACGAGTTCGGAACGTCTCGTTACATCACCTCCCTCTTTTGAGAGGAGCGGCGTTCACCCGGGAACGAAGCAATGGGATCTTAGCTGTTCATTCTAGGTGAAGCGAAGGATCCATTTTCTTCCCTCTGTGCGGACCCGGTATAGTCGCGAGACGTACGCGGCGAAGTGGAGGACCTCGGCGTAGAACCCTTCGATCACCTCGACTTTCAGTGGTAGTGGAGGTTGAGAGCCGATGAACCGCCTCGTTGGTGGCGTCGGCCCGGGCAGCGGCGGCTGTGTCCGTGACGGCG